GTGAATCAAGTACTTTTAGTATAACTACTGCAATCTTTTGAGGAAAAAGTATCTGACACTATTAACCCAAAGTATATATATACATATAGTATATATGTATATTTTCTTTTTCAGCAGTAATCATTGTTGTTAATCTTTTAATTGAGGTATACTATATTTTTCACTTTTTGGTAAAATTTCATAAAGGCTAAGAGTGGGTATAAAAAAGGGTTTTGGTTTGCAGATAGCTTCAAACTTTGGTAAAGAAAGTATTAAAAACTTGTTTGTTGTTCTTCTTAGACCAACTAACTTTAACTTTATCAGCAAAAGCAGTGTTTTTATTAAAATTTTCTGCACAAAGGCACCCACCATCTTCTTGTTATTTATCTTGTATAAGAACTTTTTTAACTTGCATGCTGAATATACAGAGGAGTCTAGAGAAAGACAAGACAAGTCTTAACCTCTGCAAAAACTGTTATTTGTTATTGTCTCTTCTACTTTTTTTAACAAGTTTCTGTTTTTCATTAGCTGTAAGTTTGGTACAAATAATTATTGGAGAGAAGTTGTTATGAGTAAAATTAATTTTATTATATATAAACTTATACAAATAATCTTAATAATTTCAGAATTCTGTAATTAGATTTTAGTAATTTTAGATTTATTAGAATTATCTCATCAAGACAAATATTTTGACAGTTAAATTATCTAAAATGAACTAGTAGATCAAAAGTTATTAAATTTTTAAAAAATTAAAAAATTTTTTAATAATTAATTAAACAGACCAATCAGAATTAAGCTAAAGTGATCATACTATATATGGATTGATGGTTATTAAATAAAAAATATTATATAATAAATAGTACACCTCTTATATCTACATATATTATCTTAAAAACTAGCTAATTAATCGATATGAGGTGTTTTAAATAAAAAGTTATATATTTTCAAAAACCTTTCTAAACTCTAATTTTAACCTTGATAAGATAGATTGATCATAGCAAATCACATCATTAACAATCTCTTCTAACCTCTTTGATATAGTCCAATAAATTATATACTAAATCCATATAAATATTAATTTAATATTGATGTAATTTTTGTGTAATATAAATTTACTATAAATACAGTTTAGAATTGCTTTTATAAGAATATATAGATGAAAAGATGTAAATAATATGAAAATAGGAAATTAGCAGAGGTATCACAACTAGAAAGAAATATAATAACAAATTAATGAAAAAGAAGAAGTCAAACTCAAGTATAATTAACACAAAATTGCAAAGAAAGAGTTCAAAGATGGAAACTACAGTAATATGAAAGAATTAGAAAAAAAATATTAAATTAAAAAAAAAAATAGAAGAGAGTATTAAAAAAATAAAAACTTTTATCTATCTTATCTGCTATTTCAACTACTCTACGCAACTTCTTTATTAACATTTATACAGACTCTCAATCTATTATTACTAAATATACCAAGCTTAGCTCCTCAATAATTAATTCTTGCAAATTTTTTAAATTTAATGTATGGCCTCTATGGCACACATTCTTTAATATAATTCAATCCTTCAAATTACACATTACTTTTCATAATACCTTTAATAATTTAGCTGACTCACTAGCTAAACAACACACATTTCAAACATTATTAGACTTTAACCACACTAATATCTACAACCCATATCACATCTTACAATAGAAAGAAGAACTATATCCTATAGAATACTCCACCAGATACTTCATTAAAACTATCTGTAAAGCCTACATTTTAGCTATGTGGTCATCACAAAAATGAAATAATGAATGGTCTCCTCTTAATCAACAAATTGACTGAAGATCTACATGGCTCTACTTTAACTACAATCACAAACCTACATACAATCTTACCAATTTCAAACTTAATCAGCTCAAGTCCTTTAAAATTAAAATACTACTCAATGAGTTGTCTATATACTCACTATATTATATATTATATCCTAAAGTCTTTCATAGTAATAACTGCTTTCACTGCAATTCTTTTGATTCTCCATCACACTGGCGCATCTACATTAATCCTTCTTTACTTCACCAATTAATCCTATCTACTACTACAAATTATCTTCACTCAGTCGAACTTGATGTATCTAATAATGAACTAGAGAACTTCATCCAAAAAATTCACAAACATGAAGCATTTTATAATATAGCACCACAACCCTACTTGTACTATATAGAGCCTACTCTCAAAGGGTTAATTCTTTGATCTCTAATTCAAATTATTCAAGACTACAATATTTTTTATAAGACAGCATCAAATATTATAATTAATCTATTATTTAAAATCAATGAACAATTATATGAACAAGTATAAAAACCTTACTGTACTAATTTTGCTAATTGGAAAAAACAGCAACAATTAACCTTTCTATACTCCAACAACTCTAACTCTACACAACAAATTGATGATTCAAACTCTGATATTTTAAGTCCAAATCAGCAATCTAAAAGTACTAATCATACATATCAATCATATATATACTTATATCTATGTGAATTACTAGACTAATTACACTCACATACTGGAGCCTGTCTACCAGTTGGCCAGGCCAGAAAGAAAATTAATACTTGGTCTATACATTGGGTCAAGTATAATTTTTTCTTAAATTTTTTAACTATAGTAACCTAAGTGAGTCTTTGGCCACTCTAGTAGGTTTAGATCACAGATAAATTTTTCTTTATCTGAGCTTTTATTCTTGTATATAATTTTTATTTTCATTTGTACTAATACAAATAGTAGCAGCTTTGCAAACTTCTACATTGTTGTAGTAATCTATATTGTTGCTATTTCAAAAATTATTAATAAAGATATGAGCAAGGCCTTACTTTAATATCAAAAAAAAAAAAATTAAAAAAATAAAAAATAGATAGTTCAATAGCTTTAAAATTTTAATTTAAAATAGTATAAACCTTTTTGGTATAGTTTGTATAGCTAACCTGTATTAGCTTTCTGATTATAAAACAATTTTCTAACCAGTGCAGCAGACTGCTTCTGGGTATCTATGAGGTAGCTAGGGGATGTCAGGTCTAAATATTAAGCTCACATTATATAATTTATTTATATAATAATTTTAATAAGGATCACTAGCAAGGTTGTCAAAGATTAGAAACAAATAAATAAATAAATTTTTGTATAATATATGATTTATCAGGCTATGTCAAAGATGCTAAAAGAAATCATTAATGATGTGCTCTGAACATTTTTTTATCATAACTAACCTATTTTTAATCATTATAAAATACTGGATAATATTGTTATTGAATGCTACTCTGCCAAAAATAGGTTAGTTATAGCAAAAAAAGTCCAGAGCATGTTATCAATAATCTCTTCTAACATTTTTGATATAATTTGATAAATTATATAATACACAAAATTTTTTTTTTTAATTTTTAAAGGTAAGGCCATGCCTCTAACTTTATTGAAATTTAATCAAATTTCTTTACAAGAAATACATACAAAAAAGAAATTATATTTGAATCTCATATCCAAAGAATACTAAGACTAGAGACTCAGACACAATGTTACAATACATAATAATATAATTATCTGTGGCCTAAACCTATAACATACAAAATTAAATCAATATTAAATTAATATTTATATTGATTTAGTATATAATTTATCAGGCTACATTAAAGAGGCCAGAAGAGATTGTTAATGGTGTGATCTAGACAATTTTTTGCCTAATTAATCTATTTAACCTTGGTATTAACTTTAATATAAAAAAATTAATATTAAAAATTTTATATACCAAACTTATAAAACTTAGAAAATTTTAAAAAAACATAATAAAAACATATAATAAATGCAAAACCACTATAAATACATTTTATAATAATTGTATTTGTTTAATTACTTTATTTTGTCTAACAATAATAAGATTAACAAAACTTTTATATTACTAATATACTAGTATAACAGGTTACAAATAAGTATTCTTTAAAATAGTTAAATATTAAACTTGCAAATTAAGCAATTATTTGTATATAAAAATATAGTATGTGTGTATAGCAGGCTCTGTTCAAATAAAAAATAAATAGTTTACTATAAGCAAAATATAAAATATAATCTATCTATAACTAAAGTTAAATAATTTTTTTATAAGATTTGCTATTTATCACTACTAGTAATCATTGCCAGTTTGCAAAAACGGGACTAAGAAACTGGGGTCAGATGTATTATTCAAGACCCCGAAAACCTTGTGAAATCTAAAATTTGGACCATTTTAACTGACCCCTCTTTGGTTATAAAATTGCACCCTAACTCAAATTATTTATGATGATGAAAACCACTGGTGATATGAAGATTTTATAAAGCGATAAATAAAATTAAAAATTTTATATATTAATTATTAATAATGTTAAGAGTTTTTTTTTTTTTGTTTAAAAAAAAACCAAACTTCTACGTACGTAGTACTGGACAATATTTTTCACTTTACGCCACTATACAATAACTAATTTTATTGATTTATTAATATATAATAACATAAAATTAAATATCAAAATTTCAATTTAAATATACATAGACGATAGTTAACCTGTCTAAAAAAATAAAAAACCTTTTTCGAAAGTGTATTTTTATTTAATATATATTAATTTGCAAATGGAATTATTATCTATTTAATAATTTTTTGCAAGACTTTTTACGCAAATTTCGGACCTTAAAAAATATAAATAATTGTGGCAGATTAAAATGAAATGAGGGATAGTGTAAAATAGACAAGCCACCGAAAAATACAAATTTTTGGGGTGCATTGTTTTAGCATTTTTTTAGGTTGGGATTAGAGTTTAGAAGCAGGTTTTATAAACAAGTATAAGTGGGTTTTAGAGGGTCAAATAGAAACCCCTCATTTTAATCCGCTTTCATTATGATTTGCGACAATAATTGCGTTAAGTTAAATATTTGTACACTGACCTGCTTAATTGACTTCACATTAACAACATTAATAGATTTAAATCAATCAATCATAAATATAGTATTAAAATTTTCATTCTTCTATATCGTCCCTGCTTTCTGCCCAATCGTCCATATCGATCTTTTTTCTTTTTCTCATCCTACCATCACCACCTTCAATATCTGCAATAAATTCTTTACCAATCTTCTCTCTCAACTCTTCAACATTCTTATCATCATCCGCATATTCAAGAATGAGATGTCTACCTAATAAGTGTGTATTTTGTAATTGCTCCATCACATTTCTTGCATCTCTTTTTGTTAAGAATTCTATAAATGCGAATCCACGAGATGTACCATCGAATTTTTTTGGTAGACGAAGTGTTTTAATTTGACCGTACGTACTATAAAAATTAATGAATTTGATGATGTTAATTTGATATTAAAGCTATTGATAGTCATAACATTAATAGAAACTTTTTAATTTACCCAAATAATTCTTTCAACTCTTTTTTCGTAGTTTCAAAAGCAACATTTTTAATAATAATTTTCGTGGATTCCTGTTTTTTCTTCATCATTTCATCCTCTTTACGTTTTCTCTGTACAGTATCTAATCCACGATTTGAAAATTTTAATTGTAACGTATGACCATCTAGCACATACCCCTAAAATGTAATTTAATATTAAATAAGTATTAATAAATAAATCAAAATAATCTTGTGAACGAAATTTTATACCTGCATTGATTTCAAAGCATTCTTTGCATTTTTCATATTATCATACTCAACAAACCCAAATCCCATACTCAACGTTTTACCAGGATTTTTAGGATCATTTTTCATTTTTATTTTTGCAGATCTCATACCAGGAGTATTCTTGAATACTTTTTTTAGCTCTTCCTCGGTGGTATCAAAATTTATGTTTTTGACAAACAATGTAGCAGTTACTTCAGATGATTCATCATCATCATTTATAGTTGTTTCAATTATATCTGTTGAAGAAAGTACTTTTTTCGCATCATCATCGGTTGGCATTAAGTTTGTATCAGTTTCACTTTTAAAAACATCTGCTGGTGCTTTTTCCAAATATAAAGGAACTCCTTTAAATTTTTTATATGCAAGGTTTGTGAATGCATTTCGGGCTTCTGAAGGATGTAAAAATTCTATTAAGGCTATTGTTTGAGCCGGTGGAATTATTAACTGTAATTTTAACAGTTAGCCTCTTTATATGTTATACTCATGTATATGTATAAATTTTTTGACTTGAATTTCAATTTTATATAATAGATGGGGGTTAAACAATAACTTACACGCCCTATTTCTCCATACCATCCAAATAATTGTTGTAATTCCTCCTTTGTCACACCAAATGAAATATTCTTTACTAAGATAATAGTATCACTTTTTTCTTTTCTTCCAAAAGAACTTAAGGAAATTCCATTCTTTAAATAATAAAATAAGATTAATACACCTTAATAACATCATCGAAATGTATAAGGTGTACATACCATTTCAAGAAATGATTTTGTTTCTTGGATGATATGAGTTTCCGCAAGAGCAAGCTTTGCAGCCATGTTATCAGATTCTGGATCCAAAATTTCTGATTTTTTTACATTAAATCGATGTGCTATTGACTCTGCGATTGCATCACTCTGAATAAAAATAATAAATTAAGTTGAATAACTCGTATATTAATTATCATAAATGCATAAAATAAAATATACACATTTTATTCTTACATTCATATATAGCATACTCCAATTGAAGTCATTACTAGCTAAGCTCTTCTGATTCATCTCTTTTTTTTTCTTTAAATTCCACCTACCAGGGTTCAAATCACGAATTTGAGGTTTTTCTCTAGAAGGTAAAATATGTAATAATCTTCCCATGAAGAATTTATTGTCTAACTCAATATAAGCTTTTACAGCGTGTTCAGGAATATGATATAAAACATAAGCAAAGCCTTTTTGGTTCTTTGTTTCCTTGTCGAGTGGAATGTGAACCTTTTTTTATCAAACTCATTCATGTTAAAATCATTATTCAAAAAATATATTATTCAAAAAATAGATTATATGTGTATAATAATGCATAAATATATAAAACTTACTTCAGCAAGTGGGCCAAATTTATTAAATACTTTTCGCAGGTCCTCTTCTGAACATATGTATGGCAAATTTCTAACAAACAATCTACCAGTTTCACCAATAGATTCCTCAGGTGGAACCTCTGTAGGTCTGCCAGATAGATTAGCATTTTTCTCATTATTATTTTCTTTGGAATCATCATTTTCTGGCGATGGATTAGTATCAATTTTATTATTTTTATCATCGTTATCTTTTAAAAAGATTTTACTCTAAATATATATATAAATTTATTAAATAATGATCTTTGAATAAGAGTGAAATAAATAACAAGCGCAATTCACCTTATAAACATCAATATCATTATCATCATCATTATCATCTATATCTAACCTTCTCCTCATTTTCATTCTAATCCACTCCATATCAGATACAGACAACCCCTTACTCGATTCAACTTCCTCACGAGATAATTTATCTTTATTATGCTTTTTTGAATCATTCGATTCATTTGTATCATTTTCAATTATTATATCATGTTTATTTGGTAAATCTTGATAAAGTTCATCATCTGAATCATTTGTAATGATATTTTTCGAACTCTGCTGAGATTCCAAAAATGTTAAATCATCATTTGCCCAAGTTTTAGATTTTGATCTTGGTTTCATAACTTCCAAAAATTCTTCAAGCTTTTCATCATTAAGATCATCATTTTTAACTCTTTTTTTTATTATTTCCACACTATTAGCCTCAGATTTTTGAAAATGTTTTCTCTGATAACTTGATGAACCAATACTATGAGCACTCCAAGGCTTAGGTAGTGTTGGATCACAAACCTTGATTAATGAATTAATATTTTAACATCATTCAAATAAATGAAAGATAAATTAATATGAAATTCTTTAGTAAATAAATGTTTATGATTTGATTGGACATTTTAAACCTACAGGCTTGGCATGTTCAACAGTGATCCTTGAAGTATAAATAAAAGTATTATTAAAATAATTTAAAGCGTCATTTGCTTCTTTTTCCGTGCGATATCCGATAAATCCAAAACATCGGGATTTTCCATCCCTATATAATTAATTCATCAAATTTCGAAATTAAATTAATATATATAATTCAATAAAATTAATATGAAATTATAGTTACGCCGTTCTTATAATCTTTGAGTCCGTAACTTGTCCTTTTGTAGAAAAATGATCCCGAAATTTTTTATCAGTTAAATTTGCGGGAAGACTTTTTACAATTAGGCGAGACCTATTTAATTGATTATTAGTTAAATTAGAGTATAAAATCTGTTACATTAAAAAGGATTTACTCACATTTTGGAACGAAAAAAAATTGAGGTTAATCTGATCTGATCTACAAGCCTACAGCTACCATATAAAGATTTATTTAATAAAGATCATGTGATTAGTATTAAGATTAACATTAACGTTTCGATGAAAAAAATTGAATTTTTATATTATAAAATTCTATAATATATAATAAATTATACGAAAATACAAAATTTAAAGAGTCTTACTGCAAAACTTAATTAATCTCGTAAAATGTAGAAAATAAGCACAGCGCCCTCAACCCACTTTTTTCAATCTCAGATTGACGGGAATAACAAGATTTTATTTCCATCTCCACTAATCTTAATCTGAGATTGAAAAATCAGGGTAGAGGGTACTGTGCTTATTTTCCACATTTTACGGTAATATTTGTTCTTTAAGTTTCTGGACTAATTTTGGATTAGTTAAGCTCAAAAAACGATTTTTGAAAAAATTGTCTCTTTTCTCAGCGCCTAGCCCAGATATGCATTAATTTCTAAATATTCATTAAGAAACTATAATGTGACTTAAGTTATTTTGAATAATATCAAGCGTTTTTGCTAGAAGGGTGCCGCACAGTTACATACGATTACAAATTTCAGCGCAAATTAAGTCAATTCAATTGAAAAAAAAACTATATAGTGTGATACCTCTATTACGATAATTAAAATATATCTTAAAAATAAAAATTTATATAATCATTTAGACATTACCGGAAATAAAATTTACATGTCATAAAATTTATAGAAAGTTTTAACTTCGAATTTTAAACTTAGCATTAGTATTAGGGCAAAGGCTTAGATTAAAGTTAGATGTTAGGATTTTTTAGTTTTTCATATCCGATGATTTCACCTCCTGAGTATGGTTTAGTATAATAGATGCGACTTTTGATAAAATTTGTAGATCGCTGCATTTTCGATTGTCCGATTACAATCGAGTGTCTTGATTGTACGTGCTGTATGCGATTTCTCAGCAACCATCTGATCAAATTTGATGAATTTTTTTTATTTGAATTTTATGAATCTATAAAAGTTATATAAAAAAAAAAACACCGAATTTGACCAGGTGGTTGCTGAGATATCTTTGCTCAAAGTCTATTAAAAATTTCAAAACGTCAATCAAAAATAGAAATTGCGCCAAATTTTCATAAAACTTTGAGCGAAGATATCTCAGCAACCATCTGATCAAATTCGTTGAATTTTTTTTATTTGAATTTCATATGTTCATAAAATTCAAATAAAAAAATTTTCATCGAATTTGATCAGATGGTTGCTAAAAAATCGCATACAATCACGTACAATCGAGACAGTCGATAGCAATCAGACAATGAGGTCACAACTAATGATGCAGACATTTATTAGGGTAGTCACTACCCACGGCATTACGGCTATGACGTGAAGTTCGCACTACCTCTAGATAATGTTGCCGTTATGCCGTATGTTGCAATATTTTAGGTGTAGCAATAGGGTAGTGTGTCATAATAGGTTTAGTATGCCGTGATCAGTGTTGGCCAAATATGGATATGGACAATATGGACTAATGGACATGGACAAATATGGACTATGTCCATATTGTTCATATTTTTTGAATTGACATAGGCACTTAGTCCAAATTTAAAATGTGATTCATATAGCACAATTTCTTGAAATTTGATTGGCTCAAGAATCAACACATAAAATTACATTTTTTTTTTTTTATTTTTCCAACTTATATACATTTGCTTGGTATGTATTATGTTCTTATAGACTATACATTTATTGAAATTACTAACATATTTCACATAAAATGATTCGTCTTTGTGCAAATTACATGCAATCTTATACTGCAGTACTATATATATATACATATCTTTTGATGAATAGCAACTATATAGTAATTTACCAACTATAAAATTTTTATACTAAAATGTGATTATAATTTTTTGAGTATCGTTAAGAGAAAGTCTATAATTATTCATCTAATAAAAATTACAGGTTTTTTCTTTATGATACTCATATCAAACCTATTATCTGCTAACTATAAATTTCTTATGCCTCATACTTCATACAAAAAATATATTTTGCTGAAGTACATTCTTTTTAAATTATATCAGCATCTTAATATAACAATACTAAGATCAATTTCTCAATATAAAAATGGTTTGTCAAGAAAACTTTATTATTGAATAAAGTGTTTTGTTATACAAAGCAAAAAAATCAAATAGTATTGATCACCCGATTTTTAATTTATTAATTCATAGCATAGAATACAATTTAGCAAATGGTCAATAATATTAAAGCGAATATATGTAAATTTAAATGTATAGCTTCTAAACTGATTTATTACAGTTTAATACAGTATTACAATTTATGTTTTTTTTTTTATTTTAAGTGCAAATTACACTCTTGATCTCCCAAAAGCAAATTAATAGAAGCGGATTGAGCTAATGAATCAGCAAAAATATTTGCCAATTTCCATTTAGTTGCTAAATTATCTGCAGGATGAATATCATTTTGAAGTATTATACAAATTAGTCAAACCTTCTGACTCATTTAAGCTAAACAAATCACATTGCATATAATCATCATCCTTCTCTTCAGCCAGGTTAATTCATCGTTCTACAATTACTTTCTAGTCATTTATACATCTAACTAATTCTGGCTGTTCAACATTTATTTGACTTTGTCTCATATTTATATCAGTGTCATCTTCTGATAATAATTCCTCTTTACTATCTTTTAGACTTATTTGTTCATTATTTTTAGATAGAATATCAATCTTTTGTTTGTATGTTTTTAGTGACTTGTTAATACCAAGAATATTTTGTGAATATAAAAGTTTCGATCTTATTTGGCACATAGTAAAAACTTTTTTATACTATTATATTATAAAATAGACAAATAGATAATGATATCTAATTAATAAAATAATAATAAAAATAATAATAAAAATTAAAGGATTAGTAAGTAAATAATCAAAGTAAATTTGCCTGAAGTTGATTATGTCTTAATGAGTGATACAATCCCATAGCAGAGAATAATCATTCTACTGATGCTGTGGCTATACAAATTGAGAAAATACGGGTTGCTGCAAAATATAATTCTATAGCAATCTCTTTATAAAAATTCTAATACATTAGAATGTCATTAAATTGGTCAAAAGTTTCTCTATCAAATGGATATTCTTCATTTTTATATAATTGTAATTCTTGTAAAATAGAATATGAGGGTTTACTAAAATAAGATTTATAATAATGTTTAACCCATAGTCCCATATGCACAAAAGAAAAATTATCAATGCTTTGATTAAATTAGATATTACGATAATCTAGATATAATAAAAAAGATAAAAGTAGCAATAGCTGCTTCCAAGCAGACCATCGTTTTTTTAATTTTGTTGTTAAATAATTTTTAAGCTCTTTATCTAAAATATCTTTAATCATTTGATACATCTATTCGAAACTATGTAGAACATCAGTAAAACAGCCTTTATCTTGTTGGAGTTTATTTAAAGATACTATACATGGTTCAAAAAGAATCTTTAACTATGTAAGATTATTCTACCATTCATTATTTGAAATATTTGAATAAATATTTCTAGGAAAATCTTTAAAATTATCATCATTTTCTTCTTCAATTTTTGTAACTAAATTTTTAAGAATGACATGAGATTTAATAATACTTGCAAAATATAAGTAATGACTATTCTATTGGGTAAAATTTGGAGATACAAAAGAAATATATGACTTGTATATTGCTGCTTGCTTAGAATGAAAATAGCCCAAAAAAAAGTTGACTGATAAAAAAAAGATACAAGATGAATAGTCTATTTAGCAATAACTGAAAATGAATTTGAGGTTTTAAAAATATCTCCAATACACAAGTTTATTTGATGCACAAAGTATGGAATAAATACAATCTCAGGATATAATCTTCGTAAACATTTTCTAAATTTATATTAACTGTTAATTAAAATTTAATATAGTATATATATATATTGGGCATAAGTGTAAATTTAAAATTGAGTTGTATCATATTGAAATTTAAGTAAAAATTTTTAATTGATTAGTATTTTCTTATCTGATGATATCTTGGTATAAAAAGTTTGTGAAAATTATTTCAATAGCTGCTTAATTATAATGTTAATTATAGTATATAAATGATAAAGGCAGTGTCATTTATTACCTAATTTTTTTTATCAGAAGTTTACACTCTCTCCTCCTCTTAATATATATTTTAATCAGGTTTTTATATATAATTTTAAAATTTTTACCCCCCTCCTCCCTAAAAAATCACCTGTTTTTTATTATGTCCCTAATCTTAGTTTGACGCATTTCAAAATTGAAATTCATTCTAATACAACTCAATTTTAAATTTCCATCTTTTCTAATCTAATACATGATATATATCATGTTACCTAGCTGCTTTGTATTCAGATGCACAATCTGTTATAATTGCATTAACTTTAATTTTTCTTTTTTTAGATCACTGAGCATATTTTCAGTTTGACGTTGCACATCAACCCATTTTGTACATTCATTTGATATGTCTTCTACATTCTAAACAAGAATCTTGTCTACTAAGATAACTAAAATACTTCTAAAAATTGATTCCTTTTTAATATTTTTCTAACCATCATATGCTAGAGTAATACTATTTTTTTTATCATTTTGTGTTATTTCTTTAATTAATTTAGTTATTTTTTGTGCAGATTCAGATAAAATTTGACTATTAAAATTTTTTTGTGATGGTAATTTAATTAAAGAATAAACAAATTCAAAAAGCTTCTTTATTTCTAGATTTTCTACCCATGAAAAGCCTAATCATATAATATAGTTGCTTTAAGTATAAGTTGTTCTAAATATTTTTGCTATTCTTTATTTAAGAACCAGAGACAATAATGATTAATTATATTTTTTTTAATATAAACAATTGAGTTTTTTAATAAAGCCTCAGAATTATTATCAGAATTATTATCAAAATTTTCTTGAGCAGCTAAACAAAACTAAAATAATAATTATATATATATAACTTATTAGAACTGTACTAATTACTTATACTTACAATTATTAACCACTGAATTTGATTTATTCAAAATTTTTACTTGCTCTAATTCATTGTACTTTTGTTTAAAATAAATACAATTTTTTAAATAATGATGAACAAGTTCTTGTATATTCGCAAATTTATTTTTTTCTGCCTCTGTATATGAAGAACCTAATATATATTCTTTACAAATATAATATCTATTACTTTTATTTGCTTTTTCTTCAAACACGATTATGAATTCTAATAGATGATAAGATGGTTTACCCATATTGTACAATAGGATAAATAAAGAAGATTTAGAGTAAATTTCAATTCTATTTAAAAGATTGTGCATCTGAATACAAAGCAGCTAGGTAACATGATAT